ATTCTATTCTATTCTATTCTATTCTATTCTATTCTATTCTATTCTATTCTATTCTATTCTATTCTATTGACTTATGAAAAAGCACTTCTGGGACAGCCATGACCTGGATGTTTGAGAATCTCCAGTGAGATTCTACATTAGGATAGCCTAGAGAAAGTAAGGACTGGGGGCAGGGTGAATAATAGCAGTATTACAGTATTTGAGAGGTTGCCACAAAGAGGAGGGGGTCAATTTATTTTCAAAAGCACCAGAAGGCAGGAGAAGAAACAATGGATGGACTCTAATCAAGGAGAGAAGCAACCTGGAATTAAGGAGAAACTTTCTAACAGTGAGGACAATCAACAGCTTGTCTTCAGAAGTTGTGGCTGCTTCATCACTGGAGGCTTTTTAGAACAGATTGGACAGCCACTTGTCTGACATGGTATAGGGTCTCCTGCTTAAACAGAGGGTTGGACTAGAAGACCTCCAAAATCCCTTCCAGCTCTATTCTGATTGATTAATGTTACATTATTCCAATGAAGGTTGGATGGAATACAGGTAGTCTTAGACTTATAAATGTTTATTTAGCAATAGTTTGAGATTAAGAGCCATGGTGGCACAGTGGTGAGAGTGCAGTACTGCAGGCTACTTTTGCTGACTGCTGACTGCCTGCAATTTGGCAGTTCAAATCTCACCAGGCTCAAGGTTGACTCAGCCTTCCATCCTTCCAAGGTGGGTGGAATGAGGACCTAGATTGTTGTGGGGGGGGGAGGCAATAGGATGATTCTGTAAACAGCTTAGAGAGGGCTGTAAAGCACTGTAAAGTGGTATATAAGTCTAAGTGCTATTGGTATTACAGTGGGATTGAAAAAAGTGATTTGTGATTGGTCCTCACACTTGCAACTATTGCAGTTTCCCCAAAGTCACACAATCAAAATTTGGGCATTTGACAAAAAAACATGTATTTATGATGTTTGCCATATCCTGGGCTCCTGGGAATACATTTATGACTTTCCAAGGTGTCTACTGACATGCAAAGTCAATGGGGAAAGCTGGATTTGCTTAACAAGCACATGATCCACTTAATAACTTGTAGTGAATAATAGATCAGTATCAATAAATATATTATTTACCATCAAGAACTAATGAGATAAAATTGTCTGGCAATTGAATCTCTCCTTCCCAAATCAAGAGCAACTATATTATTAATGGCATTAGAAGGTATGGAATAAAACCAATACTCACTTTGCTCAGCATTTCCATCTGTGCAATAATATTTTGATTAATTGTGAAGTTATGTCTTTCTAGATGTCCCAATGTCATTCTAATGATGGTTTTATTGGCAGAAATTACAGAGTTTATGATGTCCAAGTTAGCTGCCAAATCTCCTTTCTCATCCAAGTATACACCTTCCATGGAATTATTATAAAACTGGGGATTCTGGAGGAAGGAGTGAAGCTGGGATGGAAAAGAGAGAACAAGCTTTAGAAAGTAAACCAAAATCGCTCCCATCTATGCCATAGCCATCTCTTCACCACTTCAGTTTGCACTTCTGTCCTTCCTCGGCTTTTTGAAGGAAGTTGAATATTATTTGCACTTCCTCTTCTAGCTTATTGCAATTTGACTTTTATTAAAGAAGCTTGGGGAGAAGATCAGTGGTGGGATTCAATTTTTTTTACTACTGGTTCTGTGGGCGTGGCTTGGTGGGCATGGCAGGGGAAGGATACTGTAAAATCTACATTCCCACCCCACTCCAGGAAAAGGATAATTGTAAAATCCCCAATCCCTCCCCACCCCACTAACCTGATTTCCAACTCCTTTCTCCTGTGCAGAGCAACAAAAGAAGACCCAGCCAATCAGGTGGGACTCGGGAGGCAAATAATAGATGGGACCAGGGCCAATCAGAGGTGGTATTTGCCGGTTCTCTGAACTACTCAAAATTTGTGCTACCAGTTTTCCAGAACTGTCAGAACCTGCTGAATACCACTCTGGAGAAGATACAATAACTCCATATATGAAAGATGAATTGGATGCTTGTAGGATGGGCCAGATATGTCATGTGCTGGCCATACTCACACCAGGTCTAGCGAAGGGGGAAAAAGTCCTGATATGCCATGTGACGCCATCATGATGGTGTGTGTTTGACACTCCTGTTGTAGGAGATGGACTGGCAGATCCTTGGGTCTGAGTTAAGAGAAGGATCACACTAGAATCCGTATGTAGCCCCCAAGTAGACTAAGTCCAATCTCCCTTGAATTCCATTCATTATCTGACTCCAAGTGAGTGCTAACCATTAGTCCCAAAGATTCCTGTGCATGGGCCATTTAGGAATACATCAGCTTAATTGGACTTTCTTATGTGGACCTGATCTTTTGCATATGACAGTGCTGCAGCTGAGCCACTTTCTGAACTTCACTGAACTGAGTAATCTTTTAAAATTCCCATAGGTGTTTGCATGCTTACCTGCCACTTCCATGGCTAGTTCCAAATGGGCCATGGCCCAGTACTGGCTTTGGCCCAGGGGTTGGCGAACCCAGGTATAGGGTCTCCTGCCTGAGCAGGGGATTGGACTAGAAGACCTCCAAGGTCCCTCCCAACACTATTATTCTGTTATTCTGCCAGTCTCTCCTTCACCCCCTTCTCCCTGTCAGCCTTGGAAGCCATATTTTACTTGGAAGCTTTGAGGTTGCCACATTTAGTGTCTGGGAATTGGGATTTCAAGGATCAGTGGAAGATTAGACTCAACAACATTCTTTCTCAGAAAGTCAAGGACATGTGACCCTGTACCTGGAGGGGAGTGTCTGGAGGAATGTCTCCAGTTGGGACAGGCCCTTCCTCATGGGTTGTTTCTAATCAGACAGAATAAGAGAACTGACTGCAGCCAAGGATAGAGACAGGCTCTGGTCTAATGGAGATGACCAGAACTTGAGATTCAGCAGGTGGTTGAACCAGATAGCTTATACTCCTCAGCAGACATGTACACTCCATCAGTGGGGAGAGCTCTCAAGTGGACAGGATACAGTCGTGCGACAGTGTGCAAAGAAAAAAAACTCAAAAAGGAGAACACGTATTCTCAAGAAGCAGATGTTGTTCTATGAAATGAAGAACAAAGATGGCCTGGTAGTGAAGATAATGTCAGGATTCCAGCAATCGCTCTAATTAAAACATGATTCTCAAGTCAAACTTTAAAAACTTCAAAGGATTTATTAGAGGTGACATACTGGCACTGTCCTGTTTGAAGCCAACTCTGGCATATGTCATTTACAATCAC